GTGCGATCGTGGTGGACAATATACTATGCAATTGCAAGGACAATTTTCATCTTACGCCATGCATATTTCTTTAACTTTGTCAATGCCATGTATGATTTTGCATCCATCACGTTGATTTTTGTCTTATGTGGATTGCTAAAAATGATATGTGTGATAGATGGGTAACTTTATTTAAATTTGGCTAAGCAACGAGTTCCCTTTTAAATTTCGACAAGCAAAGTAATAATATATAGCAAAATTCATGAGCAATGAGTAACTTTTAAAATTTTGAATACTTTCTTGCAAATTTCAATGAGCAAGTAATAATCTATAACAAAGCTCCATAATTTTTTATCATGACGGTGTTTGAAATCCGTTTTTATAAAAAAATGAATTTTAGAATAATAGATTGATAAAGAATGTGTGGATGAAAAATAAGAATTTTTTTTACTTACATATAATATTATTTTAATGAAAAATATGTGATTAAAAAAAGAGAGAAAAATGTATTTTGATGAAAATGATAATCAAACGGGCCTTAAATCAACTCGACAAAAACAGTAGGACAAAAATTCAAAATTTTTGTTCAATATCCACGTATTCGTTTTAACGTACACGTGGAGCGTAAGTTAGCTGGCCTGATGTTTCCCTAAAACAAGGGGCCTGCGCCGAATCTTCTTTCAGGCTCTTTATATACAACCTCCCCTCCCACATCAAAGTTAACTTGGAATCTTCTTGCCGTCGGATCGTCTTGTCAAATTTTTCTCGATCAAAGACCCACACAGTGGAAGGCGAAAGCGAGAAGAAAAATGTGTTTATTGCTATGTAGTAAAGAGGAAAAAGAAGTTAGAAGGCAACAGGCTTCTGGGGCATGCCCTAACTGTGGAGGGAAAGTGGAAGCAGTGGATGTTGGAATTCAATGGAGATTTTTCTGTTTGCCCTTATGTTTCATATTCAAGAGGAAGTATTTTTGTAATCTTTGTTCAAGGCGTTTGGTTCTGTATAATTGTTGAACAGTTTAGAATTTGGATCAAGAATCAATTTCAGTACGTGGGTTGATGTTGAGTTTTTTGTTACTTGAATGTGTATATATAGTTTTGTTTAGTTTTAAGATGAAAATGTTAATTTGGTCTGATTTGATCTGATCATTTGGTTTCTACTTTCTTGATTCTTGTTTCTTTTGTAATAGTGGAAGAAAAATGTGTTTATCAATGAATTGACAAGGAATAGTTATGGTTTTATTTGCTAATTAATCATTGTGGGTTTTATGGGAATTGTACAACAAAAACTTCATATTATGATAAAGAATTAAGAGTGTATTTGGAAATCGAAGGGCTTTTTGCAAATTTCAGAGGTGATACTTAGAGCATTTTCAGTAGATTTTCTAAAAAAATTTTAATATACTTTCGATACTCTCTTTTTGATTCTTTATTTTACTTTCCACTGAATATAATTGGTTCCTCATCATTTCTTATTTAACATAGCTTTTCTATATGTAAATGGTCAATCAATTCAGATGTGATTGGAATAATTTAAATGGTAGAGTATTGAAATTTGTAATTTATTGAATGCAATCGTTACTAATTAAGAATTGAGGGTACCTTTGGCTTTCCAAATTTGAATAGCTAAATTCAATGTTTATCTTAAAAAATTAAAATAGAGAGCCTCTTTAAACTTATTTTTAAGTGTTGACTCTTTAAAATAGAGAATATCTTGAAGATGCTTCTAAAATGGCAAAATCTATTTTGGTTAAAACATTAATCCTTTGCTAAAGTTAAAAAGCAATTTATATATATATATATAAAAGAGTACAATTTAAAACTATGTGATAGAGAAGTCCAAATTTTGAGTTCCTCTAAATATTTAAAAATAAATAAATAAATAAATAAATAAAATCTCTTCTTGTGCTCCTCTAAATTTTAGTTAACTCATAATTAATTGATTCCAAGTTGACACAAAATTATTTATAGAGATAACATATAATATTTTCACATACATTAATGTCAGTTTGTTCTAATTATTAAGTCGAAAAAGTATTGAAGTGATCAAATTTAAAGTTGAATTAGTCGAAGAGTTCGTTATAAGAATATCTTTAACATAATAAAAAAGACTCTTTTTATCTTCTTTATTTTACTTATGAAAAATGTGTGTGTGTGTGTGTGTTTTTTTTTTTTTTTTTTTTTTTCCTTCCGAGGTGGTTGGGATGGGATGGGATGTCAATAAGCACGTTTTTGTTGAGTCGTCCAAGTCCAATTTTGTTGGCTAACAACGTAGGCCCAATTTAAGATGACGTTGACTATGTCAACAAGTCATATATTTCTTCATTTCAATATGTTGACATATAATCTGAAATGAACTTTTTAAGGGCAGATCAACTCAAACATTGAAATGTTCGATGTGAAACATGTGTCGGTCCAATTAATGTTTGTTTATTAATGTCTTCAATGTCTATATTTTAATTAAAAATAAATAAATAAATTAGAGTGGGCTTCTCCAACTTATTCGAAACTCAGCAACTGGGTTCTTAATTTTCATTTCTGATATTCACAGTAAACCTTTCTATATTGTATGGGTCACGTTAAAATACTAACTTTGTCACAT